TTCACTACCATCGATCATAATATCTCGTTAATCAGGAGCCTCCGAAACATCTACGCCACACTGGCGAACACTGTACTCATATTCCACGAGAAAGCACAATGCACCCACCCTCAGACCCCACCGACGCATCCACAGAACATCTCAACTTGCCAAACCGACGTAACACAGCGACCCAACAACACCACCAATGACCATCGGAACACCAGCCAGCAACTGCGCCAACCAAGCGTCACCTACCACGCGAGCGACCAGCAACACAGCACAAGTCGGGCCAGAGAGCACCGGCCAACACCGCGGAGCTCTACTATATAGCTCCATGCCTCACCATGAGTGCCCCGCGCCCTAGCGCGCCGATCCACAAAGCTGTAGTGAAAGCGCAGCACCCCACTGTTTCAGTTCAGTTTCAGTCTTCCCCATACACTCCAGCATTAACCAATTTATGCAAGCAGCCGACACGGTATTGTCGCTATTCACGCGCACCCGGCCACCCGCCTGAACCTTACCGCACAGCAGGGCATTATCAGACCAACCTAACAAGCACGACACGACAAACCAAGTGGACATTCGTAATACGCGCCACAGAGGGCCTGCACTGTCCAGCAAAACCATTTGGTGCAACCTTCTCGCTTTCTCAAGAAAAACATGCTAGAAATTAAATCATCGTCATATTTAATACAATTATATGATGATTATTAAAACCATCAAATTGTTACTATATTCATGCCATCGTATACACTTCCCAATACGTATGGCGATAATTAATTGCAATAACGGTTTTGTCGCTATTGCCAATATATTGCAAATACGCCGTTTTTTGGTCGCAATACTCACCCCTCAATAATCATACTCATACATAGCCCCCATGGCAAACGGTCTCCTGCTACAAGCTAGCCAAGCACCACTTCCCATTTTCGTTGCTCCCGCCACTCACAGGCAACTTTCACACAACGCTCGGTTACGGCAAATTCCTTTGTGGCACAACAACTCAACACTCGCGCAACCACACACCACGTCAAACCAAGCACACTTTCACCACAAGTTGCCCACACACGCATTCAATTTTCGTGGCTGCAGAAATCAAATGGCCGGTTGATTCTCAGCAACCTCGTAGCGTCACCACTACAAATTCTCCCGTGCAAACCACCAACCTCCAGCCCACACACTCAGCTCCAGACCGTAGATACACTCTACCCCACACCAGGACAACCACACACAAGCAACACCTCATGGCCATCCTATCTGTCGCAGACGACCAACGAAATTGCCTCGGTCAACCGACGCCACCCACGAACAACATGAGTTAACAAGTCGTGAACCTGACACACGAAAGCATCCTCACACAAGTAGGAGATAAAGAAGCACAATCGGCCGCACAGCCTGGATCGGGCTAACTAAATCATAGTGTATGCTAACCCCGCAACAGGCTGCTGTGAGAACGTGTGCACTAACGCAGATGGGTCGTTGTACGTCATCAGGTATCTACTACAGATATGTACCCGAGGTAGTTTTAGGTTGTTTAGGTATTATGTACTATATTTTTATACTGGAGGTACCTTCTGTAGTACAACAACACAGTCTGGTCACACCCTTCTGTGTACTACATATATGTCTACCCCTCGGCGTACATATCTGTAATACCTGATAAAGACCACCCACGACCCCTTCCAGTAGTGACCTCAACCTACCAACTACGCAGGTCTTCCTAACCATAACACGCAAGTCTCAATCCAACACGTCGACAAACGGAACCACTTCAGCGCACTGATCCAGTATATTCTTAGAACGAGACCACAAGTGTATCTGCGTAATGCATCTCATCGAACCAGCAACAACTAATCATCTCACCGTCGCGCTATGTAATGCTGCCCAACACTTGGAATCCCTTGCACACACTCCCACAACCTTCTCACTGTCACACTGTAACGACCTACCATGCGACACTCCGACCACTACCCACACATCGGCCTAACTCTCCTGATTTTTTAGCAACCACTCATAACTATACTACAACCTCTTATATATGTTGGTCGCACTCGATATGATTACCACAGCCTCAAATGCTCACAACCACAACCACAACAACCAAACAACATGAACCAACAACTCGTGTTTTGCATTTAAATGCAAAACTTGCATGATAGATCTCAAAGGTTACTTCAGCGACGACAGGTACGTGTAAAGGCCAAGACACACTGCAGCGACAGCGACCGACCGTAACGACAAACGACAAAGTCGCGGCGACTGGCGCAAGCCACACTGCCAGCCGACAACGCCGCGACCATAACGACCAAACGTTCACCAAGCCTACTCACCACAGTGCCGAGTGCACAGTGCACATATGCAGCCAACCTGGCCAAAAAAACTCCTGCCTGCTGCTTTTAAATAAATTGCTGTAAAAACGCTCCATGATAACGCATAATATTAAATAACCAGTAATATACTACGCTCAGCCATATTATACGAACGCTCTGATGCGCTGACCGAATAGCCTTTCACGTTTTCCGTTAGCATGGCCTAGTTCGCGGCCCAACTGTTTCTGCACAGCGGTGCCCGAGTTTAGCGCTGACGCCGGCGGACAGTCTATAAGCGATACTATCCTGGCTCAGTCCATGGTTTATAAGTTTAAATATGACGTACATGGCCGATGTCATGTCGCCGATTGGAAACGGCTGTGAATTGGCCATTTGTAAAGTGCCTCGCCGTGCGAAAGTCTGCTGCGGAAATAGAAACGTTTCTAAATAATTTTTTGTCATGTCGAGACGTTGTCGCCCGGTCGTCGCCGTGATCAGCTGTGCAAATGGCTCATAGGCAAAACAATATTTCTCTAATTTTACTGAAAAGTCGTTGTCGTTACGCGTCGCGTCGTTTTTCGCCTTGCCGTGTGTCTTGGCCTTAATTTACTAAATAATACTAATAGCTAATACATGCCTTAATAGCCAATATGAGGACTTGGCCGCTCATTTTATAAATTTGACACTGATAGCCTATAATAAAGTATCAAGCCATGCGCAGAAAACAAAAGGCAAGCTGGTCCAACGAGCAGTGGACATGCCAATTACTAGCATACAAATAATGTAACACAAACAAAGTAGTACTGCCCCTCATACGCGGTCTAGTACCCCAAGGGCTACTGCCGCCGAACGCTACCCTGCAGTACGGATTCCGGTATACCGGAACGCTTACCCTTGAGTTCACTATTTCGTATTTGATATGGCTGTAGGTTAGCCCGTTTAGCGCGAAATAGGCGTTAGCCGGTTCGGTTAGGGAGTAGGCGTAAGACGACTCCCTAGACTCTGTTATAGATGGACGTAGGCCGAGATACGGTCCAGGCATATTAAGATAGCTACCAGCGCGTAACGTATTCAGCTATACCGGACCCGCTACCAGGGTACTCGTCCGCAGTAACCGGGGACATTAGACCCTCTCCGCCTCAGCCAATACTACCTATATCACACGCTACAGCTGTCTGCTGACTAACGTCAATACACCTGTTCGTTACGTATTCTAACCCGTAGCCAATACCGTTTCTGGAGCTAAGTACTAGGCCACCAGGTTCCTGGCCCAAGGCATAGAGAAACATGCCGGTACCAAATAAAACCAATGCTGCCTAAACCTAACCCTAACCCTAATCCTACCCTAACCATAACCCTACCTATTATATTGATATCAATGATTATCATTTATATTGCATGGCTTAAATGACAATTGGTTTTATTGGACCCATGGTTCTCTATGCCATCTAGTCCTTGCAACCGCATTTGCTGCTAAAATGTAAGCTTGTAACCGCCTCTCTTCGGGTTACATTATTCTTGAGCAGACAACTGAATATAGACAACACCGCGACAATTGAAACCAGCGGCAGATTATGTGCGGCAAATTTCTGGTCGCATTCGAAACACAATACTATTTAGAACCAATATTCAAGATCGCACGGGTGCCAAGCATACAAGATACAAACGGTTGCCCTTATACAATAAAGCTGTTCTATCTTATTCATTCATTATATTTACCATTCGAGATTTCACGACGAAAGATTTTACGCGAAATTCGGCCTGGGAACCTCGGTCACACTAATAATTTATTTACCATTACGAGATTTAAACACACGCAGATTGTCACCGCCAAATCGCGCGCTGAACTTATTCAACTACACGCCTTTTGCCCATAACACAACAATTTTCCCATTAATGCGCATACAAAGTGACTCTAACATATGGAGCATTCGCTAACAGTAGTAGCAGCGCAGTGACAATGTTAGAAATTGAATATCTTTTCTTTATTAAATGTTCACTACTAAGTCTGTGCTATGATAATAGATCAAAACATCTAGTTTGAATGTATAAATATGGTTATTTCCTTATTTCTTTTTTTATTGACGAGATTGTAAAGTTTGTTTAAGTCAATCGGCGAATCTTTTTTTGCTAATTAAGAACTCGCTGAATGCTCAGTACAGCTACACTACAGGCTTTACGCTCCATACACGCCTTACAGTGACAGCGATCACGGTTAGGCACTTGATTTGCCAGCTGACAGAATAGTGATTGCACTAATGCGTCACGCAGCCTGTAATAAATGTTTGCGCGTGCCATTTTTTCCCCCTGCAACCCGCATGCGGGCGACGAGGAATAGCGCATTGGTTCCAGTGTTGTTTTATCGCTAGTGGGCGTTGTGGTTCTTTTTTGCCAGTTTTTTAGCGCAGATAATGCTGTTTTAGAGCGCATCATAATATTCTGTGTACTAATGTGTGTCACTGGTGACTGGCATGCGTGTGTGTGCACAGCACTTTGGAACGTCTCAAAAAAAGGAAATAAACGGCAATGTCATTGTACTACCAAAGTCTTAATGTCTTCTCTACAACTACTATTTCGCCCTATAATCACCTGCTAAATGCCGGTCAAATGCCTCATCTGGTCAACACACCGCAAGATACACCACGTGCTAGCCTGCTCCCATGCACAAATTATTTAATACAATAAATAATATACTAATATAAATATATAATACATAACATTAAATATATTATTTCCTGCCGCGCAGACGGACGCGTCATGTAATCGGTCATCGAGGGTGTGTGTCGATGTGCTCCTGTGTCGTGTGTGTGTGTAGCCACACTGGCCAGCCGAATCCCCGATAGCGCGCTCGAGTCAGCGAGTGGCCGAGCTTAGCAGCAGCCCACCAGTGCCGAGCCCGGCCAGCTCAGCACCAGCCAGCGCGCATGTCAGTCAGCAGCGCCCACCAGCGAGCCACATACATGTTACATGCCTCGCCGAAGGTATGCACTCCTCTTGTGAGTGTCCTCTCTGTCCAGTTATAGCATGTGTCCAGCTGTGCAGCAGCTAGCACGCGGTGTACTCTGCTGTGTTGCAGCATGCAGCATTTGACGCGGCATTTAACAGGTGATTATGGCGAAAGTATAGTAGAGAACATTCAAGATTTTGGTGAGTAAATACATTTTGTGTTTATTTACGCTTTTTTATTGAGAACGTTCCAGACTGTGGCTGTGTGATGGCTGTTGCATGCCGCCATGTATGGGTCGCGCGCCACCTGTGTGCTGTGCGCTGCCTGTACGCGGCTGCCAATGCTGTGTAGGTACTGGTTGCCGCGCGCCGCCTGACTGTGTACGTCGGTGCGCATGCCTGTGTGTGTGTGGCCGTCCCTGATAGGGTACGTGGTGCGGCGTGCCTGTGCTGTGCCATGCCTGTGTGTACGTGTGCGCATGCCTGTGTGTGTGTGCGTGCCTGTGTGTACGTGTGTGTGCCTGTGTGTACGTGTGCGTGCTTGTGCATGCGTGCATGCCTGTGTGTACGTCGGGAGCGCACGCCTGTGTGTGCGAGTGTTCGCCTGCCCTGTGGTACGTGCTTGCGTTGCCTTGGCTCGCGCTGTGTGTGTGCCACACCTGCTGGTTTGGTTAATAGTATATTGGTAAAGTTAACTAAATTAAAATAAGATAGTTTTAATAAAATATGACAGTCATTGTGATAAGTATACAGCCCAATGGTGCAAATAAGGTAAATATCTGCTTTCAAATTGTGAAGTTTAACCTCCATTAGGATAGTGAATCATTCCAATAGTCAGACTCAAATCTAGCCTACATAAAACTTTGACATCGTATATCTCCCTAGTCTGGCATACACTGCTATTGACACCAACGATTTGTTTGGATTGTCTGTTTTTCTTTATTTTAATTTTGTTCACTGCGAAGGCATTGTTCACAGCTATCAACATTATTAGTTTATAAACTCGCTGAGGTGGGAGATAGACAACCGCCATAGAACCCCTTTAGAAATACAAGTAAATTTGGATTAATCCCTTCCCATCAAATTTGAAAAGTCGGCATTCGATTTTGTACACTTTGCAGTAGGAGAAGTATGGAAAAGTGTACGGTCTGTAAGCAGGTTGTATCATTGATGGTTTTGAAGAATTGTCCCTAACATTTCACAGAATCATTATTTACATATTTTTTAACACATAAGTCACATTCTGTCATTTTAATCAAATTGTATAATGTGCTATTCTTTTTTGTCAGAACTCTGCAATAAGAATGATCCGGGAAGTATGTAGTTCCATCAGACAAATGCATAGCTACAGGCCAGTGAATAGCATCACGAAGAGATTGGTGAATTCATCTTCCACCAGTGTTGGTGATGCTACAATATTTGCACATTCTTCTGGCTACGGGAAGTGTGGCGTTGCTGTTATCAAGTCAGTATATATTTTTAATTTCCTATACATGTGCCTTAGTTGTTATATTTTGTAAGCCTCCGGCTATCTATTCAACCTAAACTCCCCATGGTTGTAGGTGTACTTATTTTAACCATACACTAAATCTAATCACATTTGCAATGTTAAAATTGTCATTCCGTTGTAATGTCACCAAGTGGGGATTTTGTAGCCAAAAAGAGCAGTTTAGCACGTTTTTGCAGTATGCATTATTAACATTCTCACCTTCACCGTTCACGTGATATTGAACCGCCACAACTTCGATTTCGACATGAAAACAAACATTTACATCAGTATGATGATTCTATGGTTTCTGTTTCAGAGTGTCAGGGCCTGCCAGTTCACAAGTTTTGAGGCAAATTACTAAGCAAGTTGAACTGCCCAAGGCACGTATGGCAGTGCTCAAGCGTCTATATTCACCGGGAACGACACTTCTGTTAGACAAGGCTGTCGTGCTATGGTGCCCTGGTACAAAAATTTATTTTTATTCTTGCTTTTGCACTAGTTTTAAAGATGTCTTCCCACATACATTTTTGTAACAAACCACTGTAAAAACGTAAGTAAATAACTCGCTACACTTTAACTGAACGTTAGCTTTGAAAATAAAACTGTAAAAATATGAAGCAAGCCTATATATTTGCTCAACGAAAACACAACTCGAAAATCGCTTTTCGTCGCGGTTCTGTGTAAAGGCTCATTGATTGATGACGACGTAATACGTCACAACATCGCCACAGAGCAGCAAAAGTAAACGCTGTTTGAAACATTCGACTCGACACTTTAACTTTGTAGTCTAAAAGCTTTGAATGAACGTATTCTCGAGCAATTTTTTACCTATCACACATATATAGGCAAGTACATACGTGCAATGTTAAAATAATTCATTTTTGTCTGATTATATGTTTGCCGCTTGAAATTTCGTGCAAAGGCATCTTTAAATGGGTGCTTGCTCATGAATATTTATGGTTGTGTGCGTAGCCTGACTGTTAAAGTGATTACGTCACCGTAAATACTAAAAAAAACAAAATATAAGTAATTCTGTTCACTTTTTATGGTTAAATTGCTGCATTATACTTCTTATTTTACTATATTGTTTGATGTGAACATACACTCGTGACTCATACATAGCCCATAGCAAGCAATTAATGTTAGGAACACTAATATCAAATCGTCCAGGTTTTTTTGATTTTTAACTAGTTGAGAAACAATCTTATCAGGTAAGAATTTGACGATATGTTTAGTCCCGTTAGTTCTTACTTTTAATGTAAAAAAATGGCAACAAAAATTTTACAAATTTTGCCATAGAAAATTCGTGACGTAGTCAATTTAATGTAACAATGCTGATGGTAGTTCAGTATCACACTTACACATTTGGCTCTTTACTGAATAAACGCACATATTTTAACACCTCGTCTCAAGTTATCTGAGCTTTTAGTGACTTTTTTCATAGAGAGTTTTGGGTATTTATTTGAGGCCATTGATGTCCTCATGTCTGTAGTTTGTTGTTTGTAGGACCGAAGACATCGACGGGTGAGGACTGCTGTGAGCTCCATGTTCACGGAGGACCGTCGGTCATCAGGGCCGTGATGGACGCCCTGGTCGTCATCCCGGGCGTGCGACACGCCGAGGCTGGAGAGTTCACGAAGCGGTGAGCGTGGCTAATCATGTATTAATCATGCTAATTAGTGCCGAGTTCAATGCTACTGCAGGATGCGAAATTAACAGGAGTCCGGAGTCAAATACTCCCTGATTTTCTGTCGGACTTTCTGATTTGACATATGCAGGAGTCCGTGTGACTCCCTGAAAATTCTGCTATACTAACTAGTTCGTTCCAGAGCACGGCCTCGCGGAATTACCGTATTTTTTCAGCAAATATCCAAAGAAAATTTGGCAGACGTGCAACCGCATGAAACTTCAAAATAAGCACACGCGTTATTGTTAATATCTTTAGTTTGAACTTCAGACTGCGGACTCCCTCATTTTTCTGCAGACTCCTTCTTTTTGAGGGCAGGGGGTCTGTTGGACTCCCTTGTTCAAAAGTTAATTTCTAACCCTGCTACTGTGATCAGGAACAAATGCTGTGAAGGTGGTGAATGCTGTCATGTATTTTTTAGCTCTGATGAGTTAGTGATCCAATTTACCATGTGATTTTAAAAACTGTAGCTTACATATTATCAGTAAGTAAGTAAGTCAAGTAAAGTAATAAAACCAACGTCTTTTCTGAATTTATTATCGTGTTTATTGCTAGGAAGTTAATACCACTGTTTGAATCAGGCTTAAAGATTTGATTCCATAGTTTCACTAAAGCTCCAAACTGCTGCTCCCTATGTCACAATATAACCCTGCTATTTCATACCTCAGTTGCATCTGTGCATCACAATTGTGTAATTTGCTTTACAGAGCCTTTATCAACGGAAAACTCGACTTGACTGAAGTAGAGGGGTTGGCTGATCTCATACACGCTGAGACAGAGACACAGCGTAGGCAGGCACTGAGACAGATGGATGGTGCTTTAACTGCACTCTACAGTGACTGGAGGGAAAGGTTGATAAAGGTTTGAATGGCACAAATTCATAGTAGTTGTTAGTGAAATGCAGCGTCTGTAAAATCTATTCATTCTTCTTGACGTCGTGACGTCTTCATGACATTGGTTTACGCAAGGATGATAATCAAGGTTCTAGGCAATCGGGGCCTTACCACTTTCATGCATTGTAAGGTCTTCGTGTTTTGAGCTCTTCACTGTGACGTAATTTAGGTACGTTACGTGTTAAATTGCCTGCATATTTATATTTATTTTGCATTGGTTAGGCGCTGGCACATGTAGAAGCATATATTGACTTCAGTGAGGATGATAACATTGAAGAAAAAGTTATGAAGCAAGGTGCAGTATACGATTTCATGTTAAATTATGTAAAATTCTTCATACTATCGATAGAATTGATAGACTCCTGATACTATTGTGCATAATAACATGTTTGTGTGCTTAGATATTCTAAAACATCTCGATGTATGGCACGTTTAATCAGAAGCAGAATGATTTAATCATTCGAGAATCATCAAAATCTTCTATGTTATCTACTAAACCTCACTATAAAAATCTGTATTCTTTTATCTATTTAAAAAGAGTTAGGCTTTAGTGGACCTGATAAAACTAGAGACTTGATAGACCAAGATGTCTCGGTGATATAATAAAATAAAATATGTTTCTATGTGAATAATTTGAGGTATGCCCAAAAGGATGTCTTGTCCTCTAAAAGGGGGAAATTGCAGCAAAACAATGGAATCTTCAGTCTGGAGTAAACAACTGAAGACATCAATAATAAACAATACAAGTCAAAGTAGCAGCCAGAATAACATACCGCGAGATTTACATTTATTTTTTGCTACTTTATAGTTGTTGTTTTATAGTATCAATTACTTATTTGTAGTTATTACGGGATATACGTATGTCGGTCAGTATCACAGTTGCTTTTGTTACGTTGCAGTTGAGGCTACAGTGCGTGAATTACTGAACGACATAAGGCGGCACATGAGAGATAGTAGGCAAGGGGAGAGGCTGCGTACCGGCGTGCATGTAGCAATCGTGGGACGACCCAACGTCGGGAAGAGCAGCCTTCTCAATTACATATGTATGCTGCTAATTATTTAACTACTAGTGTTGTTATCATCATTATTATTATTATAACTAACTAGTATTGTTATTCGTTTTGCCTTGAAATGTGAAAAATAGCAACTAACGTGCGTTGATTGATAAGAACAAGATTGGAGCTCGTGGTTGTTCTCACTATGCGTAAAATGGTTATATATTATAGAATATGGTCTTTAGTTTATTGGTGTACATGGCAACAAGGTGGTACCACGATAACGAGAGAATATTGCTGCGAATGCCCTCGACTTTTATACGTTAATTAAATCGGTAACAGCGGGCATCTGTGGCGTAAGCGTCTACGTATCAGCTAGGATTACCACGCGCTCATCAGCGTTTGTCGTCGTTAACGACAGGTCGGCAACCTAAGGCGATCGTGTCGCCGATCCCGGGCACGACGAGGGATGTGATTGAGTCAGCGTATAACATCGGTGGCTATCCGGTCGTGCTGTGCGACACTGCCGGCATCCGGCCGTCCAGCGACACCGTGGAGCAGGAAGGCGTCGCACGAGCGAAACGAAGGTAAGCTCGTTAATCGACGACCAAAGCAATTAACATCATTAGTGAAGATTGAATTAATGGGGTTAGTGCTCCCCTGTGATGCTATTCGCGTTTTGTGAGCTGGTGTGTTAACAAGTTGTGCAGATGTGTAGACTTCTTATGTTTTTTGTATTATGATTGTTATTACACTGTTGAAATCATCAAGTTCAATAACTCTCAGAAAGCTTCGTTCATGAAAAATACACATGTAGTATATTACACACGTTTAAACTGAGTTTACTTTTAATTGTCCCGTGTTATTTTACTTACTTCACCTAAATACACTGTAATGACGATGGATCAATCTAGTGATAAAAACCTGCGATACAATAACGTAATAAAGTTTGCAGGCTACATTTCAATAAAATAAATATTTGCTCGTTAATTGTCGATATCCGATTTGATGCTTAGCCGACTCTAATTAATCACGCTAACGCAATTTAGTGATCACGATCATAATGCTCTCGTCGATTGTTTGCTCTTACAGGGCGGAGTCGGCTGACCTGGTGCTGATGGTCGTAGACATCACAGAGCTGGAGTTTGTAGACGACCCTTACCAGTACATGTCGAGTCTGTTCATCGAGCTGGGGCTGCGAACGAGCGCGGACTTCTCTCACATCAGCTGCAACAACAGGGACCGCGGCGAGCCGGACGTGAAGGCCATGTTCATGGAGGACGGCGAGGGGGACAACGTCGGCTTTCACACGCCCACCGAAGACTCGTTTAAACGCCAGCCCGTACAGATCATCGACACTAACCACCAGGGGGAGTGTTCTCACGACGACAAGTCGCGCGCAGAGTGGCAGGCGCGCCCTGAGTCGTGCGACGTCGAGAGCGGTGGCGCCACCACGGTGAATCGATCAGCGAACACCGCTCAGGTTGACTCGCATCTGATGGAAGCCGAGTGCATGAAGAATGAGAAGATACCGGTTATTTTGGTGTTGAACAAGAGCGATCTGATTGTGAATCGGGGGACGTATCAACGCTGGCGTGGTTTCATGTCCGGCGTCTGCCAAACCTCTATCGTATCCTGCCTCACAGACGACGGAATGGAAGAGTTCATGAAGATCATGCAGACAGAAGTTATGCAACAGTAAGTCTGTAATCTTGCATGATATTAATTGTAAAATTGAATAGTAAACAAGGGGGTGTTTGATAGTCTGATGTACAATGTTTTGCAAACTTTTTAGTAAAGCGAACTATTCTTGTTGTAACTGGATGTATTTTAGTTGCAGCCCTCGACACTAACGGTTGTCCGATTGCCCGGGACAAGTGAAAGTCTATGTCGGACAAGTTATTCTCTTGCCTAGTTGCCCGATCGGACAACTGAAAAGTTCTAGTTGTTTAATATTCTTAACATCCTCTGAGCCAGGGCGCTATCGCACCACATTCTCACTTCAAACGTTTTCAAAGGTCCCTGAAAAAATCAGCCCGAGACACCCACTGTTACCATTACAGATTTATTCAGAGCGGCAATGCGTACCTCCCTGGCCGGGGTCGGCATTGATTTATGTACTGGGGTGGGGGTACGATTGTTTATAAGTCGGTTGGGTCATATTCATTGCTGAATATGTAGGGGGTGGGCATCGCTGGGATGAGAGGACGACAGCAAAACTCTTTCCTGTGATTGAGGAAAAAGCTGCAATCGGTAATGACACACAATGAGCGTGCCAGCATGCAAACATAAACGTGTGAATTTCATTACGATTTTACATGTACTGTAACATTCAACCGATTATCTTCGATCATTGATCGGTTGGGTGCAACCGATGATCGATGATGAAATTCCAATCGATTCCCATCACTACTCTAGGTGATAACTGATGGTGTAAATTTTGTAGGTGTGGTGACCCGCTCTCTGGAACCCCATCGTTTACCCAGGCTCGCCACCGACACCACCTCAGCAACTGCATTGATGCGCTCGAAAGGTGAACGGGTTGTTGACGTTGTCGTATCAAATGAAACTAATACATTATCGTACTGTATAATGCGGCACGCGTTTCCTCCGGGACTTGACTTGATTCGGGTTTAGCCCAGTGGTGATCTGCTACCAATGACTATCGTTGCTCGTGATCGTCTTGCTACTCAGGTGTAGTGGTGTGCAGTGTTATCAGTACAGTTATACTGTGTGATACTGAAGTAATGATTTATTTGTAGCAATTTACCATTTTCGTATATCATAAATTTAAAGGGATAGTAGACTCTAGGATTTTACTGCATACAACTGTACTTACTGTATAACAAATCGTCTATACCCACACGTATTTGTTACCAGATACCTAATTTAATTGTTATAATTAATTACACATCAACGCTACGAAATTTGAACGGCGCCATGACACCCGCGACCGTGGTGCCACCCTGAAAAAGTCGCGTATTTGACAATTTATTTTGCACGTTACAGACCGAGGGCTAATCACAAAAGTGCAATTATATTTATACCTAAATCAGGCTAAATGCTATTTAACCGAACGATATTCATTTTATGGCAAATTTATCGATATTATAACTGAAACTATATGTCGTTTATAAGATATTACAATCCTTTTGCTTTTAAATTAATAAATAAGAAACACCCTCGGTCTGTAGCCCTAGGCTGAAAAGTGGTTTTGCGCAAACTTATCAGATCGTGCGCTTTGAGTGGCGCCACCGTCGTTGTAATCAAACTGTAGTCGTTAGTTTTAAAATATTTTTTAATATTTCTAATGGTGATTGAACCATGAAACTTTTTATGCAGCGTAATTTTAACCTAAATTAACTGAAAATAACCCTAGAACCTAGAGTAAACTCTCCCTTTAACTCTATATAAATTACTTAATTGCACGAGGTTCCTGCACAGTCTCTCCCCCTGTAAATTATGATATTTATGTTTTTAGTCAAAGATCAATGAAATCACCTTCCAAACATTTTAGATAGGCATTTATATTGTTCATCATCTTCCTCTTGCTGGCGAATACATCACAATGTACGAGATGTAACGGCTGGAACTGCGATATATCTATCGCTACTAACTAATGTGTTGTTTGTCCGTCCAGGTTTCTGAATAATCAACAAGACATTGTCATCACAGCTCAGGAACTAAGAAATGCTGTCCAACAGTTGGGCCAGGTCTCTGGCGAAATCAGAACCAGTAACATACTCGAGGTAATATTCAAAGATTTCTGCATCGGCAAATGAAATTCAGTGGAGTGTCAGTAGACCACTGTCTGACCAATATTCTCTATATAGATATAGGATGCTCCACAAATGCTAAGTGTTTGGCATTTCCAGTCAGTTGCTACCATAGTAATTAATATATGTGAGATATTGTAGCCAATTATATTTATTTGTGGGTTGTACAAAAACACAGGTCTTTTTATAAAAATATATTTCCTAATCACACAATTCTGAGTATCTTTTTATTCAGGCCACCAGTCTTCAAAAATTTGATTTTGGCTTCACAATAGATTCTAATGGCACCTCAGATGCCCTTTGAATGTTTTTCTTTTCTGTCAATTGACAGAGAAATCAAAGGACAATGTGCATATTGGCATCTGAAATGCTATTAGACTATTAAATGTGCTCATTTAAGTTATTTGTAATTTTCTATTTCTATCCCATGTCAAAAATTGCATTATATGATTTTCGGCTTTTAGGTGTCTTCAAAATATCTCGTAAAATTCTGTAAATGTGTGCTGCTAATGCACTCTAGATAATCGTATAAATGCCACCATGTACGTCACAAGATTTGTCCATTCTGCATTTTTGCTATATCTCAGTTAGTACGGATGTATGTGAAAAATTATAGTGGAATGCGTGGATTTTTGCTCTGTATTTTGTATTTCACTGATAACAGCTGAGTATTACTGTACATTGTATATAGGGAAATATTTGGAATATTTGTCTAAAAGATATTTCTGCATGCGTATTGGACTGTAATTAAACGTGTTCACTGGTGCTCCATGAAAGACGTTTGGAATTTGGGGGCAAATTTACTGGATTTTAAATAGGTAAAAATAGCCCTCTTTACATTAAATTAGTTACCCAAGCAGCATGAAGTCACTCGACTTCAAATTCCAATTCGGTTTTTGTCATCACATTTGGTCACTTGAAAATGACTTGAATGAAATTCATGCATATTTGGCAAAGGTTTGACTGAAAATGTGTAATGAGGTGTATGATTGAAAATTATGAATAACGTTTACCAAATAAACTATCAAATTTCTTGTTACCAAAATATTCACAGTCAATTTATCTTATACAATTTTTTTTATATATTTATTCATCATATCCTTCTCAAGAAACGATGTTCCATCACACATTTAACTCTGCAATTGACATGTTCATCTTAAATTAAAGTCTTAGTGTAAGGCTGCTCACTGCAAATTTCACGTTGGACAACTGCATGGATTGCCACACGTCTGTTCATTACTCCACAATTCATGCATGCTGCTGCTGTTCAGTTGTGCTACACTGAGGGAATCGTCTGTACAGGTGCTGTCACAGCTCCATCGATTATCATGCACAAATGTTGGTCCCACCGCTGCCAACCAGATACCCATTGACACGTCTTCACCCTGATACTGCTGGAGATACTTTGAATTGGCAGCAAGCCACAAAATAAGATCGTGTGACAAGACATATCCTGCCCCACAAGCAAATGGTGGGTAAAGGGCAGACGGGTACTTTGCGTCCCGCCATTTCCCGAAGCGTTGAACTGGCCAGTTCACACGGAAGTTGCTCCACCATAAATGACTGCGCGTCAGCATTTGCAACTCTCTGTGAATTCGTGGCAGATTCAGGTAACAGTCGTCGTCGGTTTTCAGAAGATATTTGAAATCCAATTTTGGAGCAGTGAGTTTGAAGCACTGCAGCAGTTTTGCAGGCAGGTTGGCATAAGTGTCTGTGACATCTGTGAATAAAATATCACCAAATCTTGCATTTTCTTCTCGTAATTTGACAAGCAACGATGATTCGCGTTGATGCCAATCGTTATTTTTCTGGTTCCGTTCTGAAATCATCGCCTTTAAACGATCAGAGTCCTGCACTAGAAAGGCAAGTGACCCAGCAGATATCGCGTTGACACCGACAACAGGTTGGATGCCTTCTTCATCTGCAAACATACCAGTCACGTCAACCAAACCAGGTGCAGTGGTCTCACTGCTTCCTCGATACTGCACTGAATCTGCAATATTCTGGGCAACCAATAAACCTTCGAATGCTTGTGGCAGAATTATTGGTTGAATTGCTTTGTAGATGTAACCATGATGTTTTTCTCCAATGCCTGTCATGAAGCTTGCACTCGCCACAGTTTCTTTGCCATCAGCCGACAATAGTTTTACAGAAACCGGTTGACTGATGTTCGAAAGAACACCAATTTTGTTTACTATGACAGAATTCCGGATGAAAATTCTCAGGCATGGTACCACAACAAACTCATATACTGCACTATTCTCATGTCCTCTGTCAACTTTGAATAGGTTGAAAGTCTTAGCCTTTGAAATGTCATAAGCATCTAGCTGCAATGGGTCACAGCTGTGTTGATAATTACGGTAATCAGGGTGCATGTTGCAGCCATGTTTGCCAATGATAAACTTGACATGAACCTTCTCTGCAATGATGCCCGTGTGCAGGTGCTGCATCCACGTGCCTCTAATTGTTTGTCGTTGCGCAAAGTTCTCTCGTGCCGACATGACAGCAACCACCATGTCTGGAATCTGCTCTTCCTCCGACGCAGTAAAATATTCGCGAACAAACGCCTCGTAGAAGATGGCCGACACTATGCCACCCACGGCCACTGCAACAAGTGTCCAGTGCAGTAGGTTGCCATTGTACTCTGTAGTAACCGGAGATATTCTTCGTCTTGCACTTGTATCCATTGATCAGGTTATCTTCAATGCGACCTGTGGATATTAATAATCCCCACTCACAGTGTGCATGAAGGACAGACACTTCAGTGAATTTTTGCGATTACACCATTGCCGTCAAACAATGTCAATGATAAACTTATACCGGTAAAAACAGAAACGGAGAAAGGCTGAGAGTGAGAGTGAGACAGAGGGGGAGCGAGACAGACTGATGCAAATGTACTAAACTATGGTACGCAGGGATTGTACCGTGTAGATCTTTTCTCTGCGGTTCTTATACTGCCTTGAACGTAAACATGAATATTCGATCCATCAGGACATATAATTTGTTCTCCAAACAGTGCGATAATGTACCAAAAATTGGTGCAAATCCACTTTAGGCACCTTAGGTATCACGAAGTGATGCACAGATTTCTGTGTATCATCAACCGTATCTCCGTATTATCATCCGTATATCGAGGAATGATGCAAAAACCCTAACCCTAACCCTAACCCTAACACACTTCGTGATACCTAAGGAGTAAGGTTATACTTTATGACTTAGGGTTAGGGTTAGGGTTTTTGCATCATTCCTTGATATACGGAAAGTCTGTGCATCAGTTGATGATACACAGAAATCTGTGCATCACTTCGTGATACCTAAGGTGCCTAAAGTGGATTTGCGCCCCAAAAATTACAGGCCTATAATCCTACAATTGTAAATTTTTTGAATCTTGAATCTACAACTTACAAGATATTCGGCAAATCATGCACCCGGGGTCAAGGATAATGCGTTAGAAAAACAACAGCATCAACAGTTGAACTCACCACCAAGATAAGTGGAGCAATAATGAACTTATGAAAGTGGAACGTAGTGCCAGAGGAAATCTTAATTTGCAAAAATACAGGAGGCAGACATATTGGTATAGATAAAACCAAGGGTGAGATACAAAGATAAACGGAAGAAAACAAAGAATGTGTTAGCTGTAACAAGAAATTATTTTTATTGTATGTATTTGTGACGTTAACATGTTATAGCAATATAAAACCGCTTGACAAATGAGCGCGGGAAATAGTGGAAATAGTGGTTATCCACATTTTCGTGAAACGTCATCAGGGAATTAATTTTGCACACAAGGCTCGCGCCATTTTTAGTGTCATGCCCGCCACCTAACGACGCTAATCATAACTAATTTAATAGACTACGTAGATCCTGGGAGAAGTAGATGAGAGCATAGATAGAGGGGAAGAGAGTGGAGAGTGTAGAAGAAAAAGAGAAGATGGAAGTGGCCACAGAATGAGAAAGTTAAGGAGGTAGAGGATGGGAAAAGTAGGAGAAGGTAGATGAGGAGAGGTGGAGAAGGAAGAGGACGAGAAAATGGAGCAAATAGTGAAAGACTTGGAGAAAGAGGAGAATAATGCGGCGATAGAAGATAGGAGAAATTAGAGAAGACAGAAGATCAGAAGGAGAGCTTGTGAAAGAGGTGGCAGTGGAGGTGGAGATAATGGATGGGGAAATCATTAGCCTGTGATAAATATAGTTCCAAATAATAATAAAAATCGCGCATATCTTTTTTAGTTAAACAATCAATAATCATAGACTTGCAATAATCAGTAATGTAGGATCAAATGTTTGAATAGTGTAACGTGGAATGTTGTGCGTACGTTGCGCAGATATTTATGATATATAAATTTTATTTTGTACCGGTGTCGCGCGATATTCCTGACGTGTGCGAAATACATGATATAGGATGTGTATGCGCATGCGTACCGACCCGACCAATCACAGCTCGTCTTTGCGTTACGATAAGTTGTGTACACTTGGACGAACACAAACTGTGTTGTAATGTTTAAATATAAGTTAGAGTTTAGAGTTGATAGGTAGAGATTGTAGTTGATATTCTTATTGATCAGAAACGACACGGAGCATCGTTGAAGAGAGCGTTCACACGACGTTTGATCGATCAGTTCTTGGACATGCCGCGAGCTGCCTGCTATATGCGAGCTGAGAAAAAAATACAATGCGTCCAAGCGAACAAACAAGCGAACAATGCGAATTAAACAATCAAACTCTGGCATAGGCTATATCCTATATCCTATATCCTACATCCTATATCATGTATTTCGCAAGTCAGGAATTTCGCGCTACACCGGCAACAAGTTTTTTAATAAAACGAAAACCACATCGAGATAATGTATCACGACACATATCACGCGATTGAACCATAGATATAGAAGAAGATATCTATGATTCTTCTATATCTATGATTGAACGGATGCATTCAATAATAGTGACGGTAGTGACTGTAATATATGCGATATAGAGTTTATAATTCTTTATCACTGCTGCCTCTGACAAAACAACTCATATCAGCTTTGCTTGTGTTCTCGATCAATGTTCATGTCTAGAATTACTGTGGATACTGCGACCCTTATAGTAGGTACTTATAGTAGGTACTTATAGTAGGTACTTTCACTCTTCGCGATCATTATTATTCGTGCCTTGTTCAACAGAGAACCGTGTAACTGAGAGAAGACCATGACTTGCTTTCGATAAGCATTCCCATTTATTATCTGTGAAGGTTACACCCTAGCAGCGAGTTATCTATTGCGTGTCATCTACATAAGAAATGATTGGCACTTAGATATTTAAAAAAAATATGCATCACCTCGCAGCGAGTGATTGTCGTCGTCTTGCTTGGTAACGGATTGTTGCGGTTGTCATGGTGAACGTGGAAGCAGGGTTGCAGTACCTGGGTGATAGTGGCAGGTACCAGCGGAGGGTGTGCTTCATGCTGATGATGCCAGCGATATGGGTCGGTGCACACACTCTGTCATTCGTGTTCCTGGGACCCGTGCCGAAACACAGGTGAGGGGGGCGGCGGCTGTGTGCGACGCGCGATGGTTTGGTGTGATGACTGCATGTGTAGTTATGTGTGAAATCTGGGTAATCTCATGTATTGCGGGTTCGCTTCGCAGACCGCGTGTGTGTAGTGAAGAACTGATATGTTTGTGTGAGCGCTTGAATTGGATGCTTCATAAGGTGTGTGTGTGGGGCGGGGGGGGTCGACTTGTAATTGCTGTGCTAAGCCGGTGATTCTGTGAGCCGATTCGGAAACACAACCATCCAGGAGATATCCATGTATACGTGTTTTGTGTGAATTTAAATTAATTGAAATGAATGAATGACTAAAATAATTAAACTATTAATTAAGTAAGTAAATTCTCACAAAATACAGCAAGAAACGGGTGGACGGGATTGATCATGCTTGTGGTTATGCAGAATAAATTAAAGTAATCTTTTCCATAACCAGGATCTTATATTGACTTTGTTAAATTGACAAAGTCAATAAAGAGTACAAAAGTACAACACCTTTTTTACCTACCGCCAGGGGCTTGGCGCAGGCTTATGTTTCAACCCGCGT